GGAGTGGCGGGACAGAAGGTGGCCCAAAAGCCCTTTCCTCTGGGCTGGGAGCAGCGAGAGTGATCGTGGCTGGGAAGCCCCTTCCTTTGGACCAGGCATAGTGGGACAGCATCTCAGAAGCCCCTACCTCTGGGCCGGGAGCAGCGGGACAGATGGCAGCCCGGAAGCCCCTTCCTGTGGGCTAGGAGTCTTCTCTAACCTTTCTATGCCATGAAGGAGATACTTTCGGAGTAAAAGCACATACTGTACTTTTTTTTTTTTTTGAGATAGGGTCTTGCTATGTAATTCACTCTGGCTTTGAACTCACTACGTAGCCCTGGCTGGTCTCCAATTTGAGACAATACTCCTGCCTCAGCCTCCTGCCTGCTGAGATTACAGGTGTGCACCACCACACCAGGCCTTGAGCTATTTTTATAGTTTACAATAGCTGTGGACTTTCCTTGGGTTAGTGTTGCTGGCCCCATTTGTCATTTCTCCCTGGTCCTGCAGACCCCCTGGCTTATCTTCTCTTCCTGGGCTTTGAACTCATCCTCCATCATGTTGGTTGGTTGGTCAGTGCCTCTGTTGTACCTTGCCAAGGGGAAATAAAAACAGAGAATGGGCTTTGAGTTGGTGGGTGGCTTGGCCAGTGCCCAAAACCTATGGATGCTGAGTTCGTTGCCTGCAGGCAAACATGGTGGCTCTGTCCTCAGTGTACCTACAGTGGCAAGCTTTAAAAGAAAATAGGGATGCAATACTTTGTTTGCAAAGAACAGAGAAAGGAAGAGATGTCTTCTCCCAAAGGGGTTGTGGCTGGCTGGTCTTCTAGTGTGAGTCCACTGTCACCAGACAGGTGGGGAAGGAGTGGGGTCAGTGAGAACAGTAAGAGGAGAGATCTGCTCAGAGCTAGTTCTTGTGCACTGTGGGACTGTGAGGTTGTCCAGACCTCCAGCCAGAAGGGCAACACTGTGTCAAACATGCTGAGAGGAAGCTCCTGGGGGAGGTGGCACGGTGTGCTCAGGGCCTCAGGTCTGCTTACACCAAAAACCAGTGGTATTCTGTTCTGAGAAAGGGCCCAGCAGAGGGACTGCTGGCAGAAGGGTGGAGGGTGGGCAAGGGTCATCTTTGTTTCAAACTGAGCAGGACTGCTTTTATCTGTTTTATTTAAATGGTCATCAAGTGTTGGCTTGAAAAAAGGTATCTCTGTGAATAAAACAATGCATGATTTGAAAACTGGTGCTCATAGTCATGTGGCACTTCTTAAGGCCCAAAACTGAGTGCTTCTCGAGGGCTGGGGCTGATGGGTTATCTCTGAGCCCAGGTGAAGCTGTAAATGTTGCTACTATACCTTCCCCTTTTTCCTCTTCACTTGCCGGGGATCTGTGGAACCAAAAGGGAGAAAAACACAGTTGGGAAATTATTGTGGTTAAGTCAAAAGCAATCACATATAATGAAGTCTTTATTTATTTTTAATTATTTGGTTTCTTGAGACATAGTCTTCCTATGCAGTTCAAGCTGGCCTTGAACTCACGATGTAGCCTGGGTTGGCCTCGAACATGAAGTATCCTCCTGTTGCAGCCACCAGAGTGCTAGGGTTACAGGCATGTGCTGCCACGCCCGACTTTGAAGTTTTTCTAATTTGGATAAAAATCTAGGAAGCAGTAACTAAACATCTGCTGGCTGGCTTTAGTTTCAGAAGCCCCAAGTGACTGAAGTTGAAGAATGCAGAAGTTGTTCTGGTTGACTTGGTCTCTGGGTGCCAGGATGGCCCCCGAGCTCACCTGGAGAGTTGTATTGTGTGCACTGGTGTACAGGTCTCAGGGGTTTCTTCTTTCTCTGAAAAAGGCCAGTCTGGAAAATGACAGCCTCTGACATTTCTGAGTCATGTGGGTTAATCTGATCAAGGGGAATTAGAGCAGCCATGAGGGCCAAAGAATTCCTGAGTGTTTTCTGGTCAGATTTCCTTGTAACTCACCAAGAATCTGTAAGGAAAACAGATTGTCTGACAAGCTCCCTATCATGTGTCCTCTGGGGCTTCTTCCCAGTCGTAATCACGACACTGCTGTAATATATTCCCTCTTCCCTAAACTTACCCTGCAGGTTTTAAGAAAGAAAAGAAAGAACCTAAGAAGACTTGGGATTGCACAGCTGTGGGACTTCAGGTTTATGCTGGCTCTGAGAGAGGCCAGGCACATTCCTTCATTTTTCAGACCTATTTTCTCATCAGCCCAATGTGTTTCCATAAAATAATGTACATTTCCCCTTTATGAGTGTGCACAGCTAGCATGAAACACGAAGGTACTTCTTGAAGTCTCACTTTGATCACCAATGTAATAGGGATTTAAGAATACTCATCTTCCAGACTCATAATGAGGAGTAGAGGATATGTGTGTTCTTTTTATACTGCTGGCACAGAATAGGTGCATGGTAGCTAATTTCTTGAATGAATGACTCACAGGGAAGATAAAATTCCTTTTGCTTATTATAGCTACTGTCCTGTTGATTTGAATACATGAGAAAAAAATACATCTTTTTGCTTCCAGATTCTGTGATAACCTAACACTCTTATTTGTTCTTATGATACTCATCACAACTTTGCTTAGTTATGTGACCAAATGCTTGAGATTGACTCCCTTCCAAGAACAGAAGTCCCTTATCTGATGCCGTATCTATCTTGTTCACCAACTACCTACTCAATGCATATAGAATCTTTTTTTTTTTTGATAGATCAATAACAAGTGGCCAATGTTTGGGAAGCTCCACTTCCTTTTATTTCTACTTCTGAGATGTTTTGTGACTATCTTTGCAGATCCTCTGGTCTTCACATGAGTTTTGCTTACCACAGGTAGAGAGACAGTCATGTCTGGTGGTGAGCCAGAGCCAAGAAGCTACTACGTGGGTGTGGATGTTGGAACAGGCAGCGTCCGTGCGGCTCTGGTGGACCAGAGAGGGGTGCTCTTGGCTTTTGCAGACCAGCCGATTGACAAATGGGAGCCTCAGTTCAACCACCACGAGCAGTCCTCTGAGGATATCTGGGCCGCTTGCTGTGTTGTCACAAAGGTACGAGCAAAGCCCATGCTCCCACCTGTTGAGTGTTTGCACCTGCCTACCTGGATGAATGGACTATGTGGAGTAACTTGAGATGCAGAGCCAAGTGACACATTGGCCTTGCCTTTCGGGACCTCACAGAGTTATGGTCGAGACTGGCAAACAGCTGCAGTGTGATGTGACAAGTGCTGGGAGCCAAGTAAATATTGCTGGTGCTAACTCTGAGGTGGCTTAGGGAAGACAGGATGCAGGATGCAGAAGCTTAAGTTGTGGACGAAGCCACTGATCATCATAGCTAACATCTACTCTGCCTTCACTGTGTGTTAAACGTGGTAACACGCACTATGTAGTTGAATCCTCACAACAGCCCTAAAGAGAATGCTGTTACCATCCCCATTTTATTCTTATTCAGGGAGAAATGGATAAAGTTAGATAACTTACACAGGTTCACAGTCAGTAAGTAGCAGGGCCAGGACTGGAACCCAAGCATTCTGGCTCCAGAGCTGTTTTACCAACAATAGACTCTCCTGTCTCCCAAATGGACAAGTGAAGAACTGCATGGTGACATGAAAATGTGTGTGCTCTGAGAAAGCGAGGAAGTTGGGTCAAACTGGAACATCTTCAGTATGTGCCAGGCAGGTTCATAGTCTTGAGTGACTGTGGATCGGATGCAGCTTGCTGGCTTGGGGAAGGAAGTGGTGTTTGGTAATACTTGCTCATATTTAAAGTTTTGTTTTTCATTTTGACTTTATTTTCTGGTGATCAGAAACAACAGGTATCTTATTATTATTATTATTATTTTTCTTTTGGAGAGAGAAAAATATAAGTCTTGGATTCCTTCTTCTCCCTGTTCCTAGTTTAGTTCTTTAAATATTCATGCAGTGCTTGGTAATTTGCAGATGGACAATTCACCATTCTGTCCATATTGATCAGTCTGTTTAAACTTTCATGAGCTCTGGGCTGCTGTTAGGCCTGGAGAAGAAGGCAGAGAGAGGTGGGGGTGGGCAGCACTAAATCATTATACAGGAATAAAAGAAGGGTGCATCTTCACTGCTGCTTGTTTAATTTTCCTCTTCTCTCCCCACTTTCTGTCCCACCTCAGTGAAAATATTCGGCTCTTTGCCCTTGGGTCTCCTTTGTTCTTCTAACATATAGCCTTTCTTGCCGTTAAGGAAATTGTCAAGAAGAAAATATAATCCCCTGCTGAAAAGCTACTCTAGAAAAGGCCTTTGCTAAGTACAGTTTGGTTTAATGGTAGATTTTTAATCATCTCCCACTGGCAGCCAACTCGGTATTGGTTTGAGCCCGGTTAGCCACATGAGTGCTGGGGGCATTTGTCCTTGAAGCTGTCTTACTGTAGAAAACCTGAATAGAGCTCCGGGTCTCAGGCCATTCCTCTCACATGGACTGTGGCTGGGTGGCAGTGTGCCAGAAGCCTCAGGGTGAGCATGGATCATCTGTTAGGGGCATCACTGCTTGGCGTGAGGTTTTATCTCAGAGGTGGCATGCCGTAGATCACGTATTCCGAAGCCAGACTACCAAAGTGATGTGCCAGCTCCACCAGCTTTTAGCTGGTGATCTTGGACAAGTTACTTCATGTTTCCTTATCGGTGGTAGGGGTTAGTGAGAGTACCTACCTCTGTAGGGATATTGTGAGGATTAAAGGAGTGAATGGAGGTAAAACATCACAACAGTATCTTGAGACAATTATCACTATGTTTCCTTTGGTAGTGGGGATGATAACAAAAATTAATAGCTGATGGAGGACAATGAATTTCTAAGATAAAATACTGAAGAGCTGGACCAATATTCTCTGCCAGGAACACTCTTCCTCAGAATTCCACAAGGTTGTCTCCTCCCTCTTTCCAGTGTTGCCTCAAATCTGCCCTTCTTAGAAACCACTTTCCTCTTCTCTAGCATTCCCTATCCTCCTGATGAATCACTTTCTAGTATGGTACATTATACTTGCACTACAAAATTTATTTGATTTATTGGCTGTAGTCTGTACTTACTGAAACATAATCTCCAAAACAATGATTTTTAAAAATGTTTTGCTCCCTATTATTTCCCAAACATGTAGAGGACAGCACAGCTTGACCCTAAAAGGTGTTCCATTTTATCTTCTCAAGACCTACAAAGTGAGGGATTGAGTTGCCTAGGCACTAGGAATGATGGAGCCTAAGAGAAACAGGGACTGCATAGCTCCACACACGCCCCCAAAGCTGACAGAGGGACTTACTTCAGTATTGAAAAGATTCAGTACCAGCTACACAGACTTGTGCTGCCAGCTGGACTCTGTCCATGGGTCCAGATTTTGAGCCTTGCTCAGAATAGAGCTAAAGATAAAGCCAGGTTTGCCTGTGACCCTGGAGTTCCCAGTCTAGAGAGTTTCTGAGGAATGCCATCTCCCCACCCAGTATGGCTGAGCTTGCTGATTTAAAACGCATGCAAGATTGAACCCATTCCCACAGGAAGAACAAAGAGATGCACAATCCCTTCCCCAAATATTTGTTTGCTGCCCCAGAGCTACAAGTTGACAGTTTTGTTAGACATGGACCAGGTTACCAAATGAAGTTGCAGAAAGGTCTTCTCCGGAAATTCTTTTGAAAAGCAATGTGCTTTGCCTCTAGCCAGGGAAATTCTCTTAATGCCAAGTTATTGGATGAGTTTACTAGGCAACTTTCTTCTTCCATGATTAAGAATATAAGAATCCTCAGGTCACCAGGTCGGGCTCTCAGGCCTTCTGGGTAGTGTGACCCTGACAGCTACCTTTCTGGGATGGCCTGGGTGGGTGGGGGAGGTCGGAGAATGGTGTGGTCCTCAGCTGTGGAGAAAGAAGCATGAATGTAAGGCATTTCCTTGTAAGGCTGGGGAAGTAACAGTGGCTACTTAGCCAAGGCAGCTTTAAATGTGTGTCATCATTATTCTTTTAGCTCCTTGTAAATGGTCTCTGTTTTATAAAGAAGTGGAGACACTACACCTTTGTGACCAAAAAGTCATGATTTGAATAGAGAAATCTGTGAGTCTTCAGAGGCCATTCATAACCTAGATTGAAGAAAACATGTTCTTCATCCTAGTGGAAGGGTATGCCCGTTATTAATTCTCAGAAAGATTTGAGTCTATACAATTTGCTATTGCTATTCTCTTTGTATGTTCTTACATGAGACAGAACATGCTGTGCTTTGGACATAAAAGTATTCCACCTCCCCCATTAATAAAACATTGAAAAGAAGTAAATAAATAAATAGCAAATAAATAAATAAATAATAAATAAAATAAATAATAAATAAATAGCAGCAAATAAATATATGAAAAAATGTTCAACATAACTGGTCATTCGAGAGATGCAGATGAAAACAACACTGAGATTCCACCTCACCCTGGAAAGAATGGCTGCTGTCAAGAAATCAACCAATAATAAATGCTGGCAGGTGTGTGGGGAGAAAGGAACCCTTCGCCATTGTTGGTGGGAGTATAGACTGGTGCAACCACCGTGGAAATCAGTATGGAGATACCTCAAAGAACTAGGGCTAGAGGTCCCATTTGACCCAACTATTCTCTTGCTGGGTATCTTCCCCAAAGAATTAAAAGAATCATACCACAGCGATATATGTGCACCCATGTTTATAACAGCACAGTTTGTAATTGCTAAATCTTGGAAACAGCCCAAGTGCCCATCAACTGGAAACTGGATAAAGAAGATGTGTTTTTTTTTTATAAAGTGGAGTACTACTCAGCCATAAAGAATGAGAAACTAGAGACATTTATAGCTAAATGGATGCATATAGAGGGCATACTCTTAAGTGAAATAAATAGGACGCACATGTGTAAATACCAAATGGTTTCTCTAGTGTGAGAAACTGAAAGTGTGAATAAGGATTAAAATGATTAAAATGAATAATTTATAATTTGAAATAGGAAAAGGTCCAAAGGTGTAGGGGTAGGGGAAGGGGAAAGGGAAGAAGGGAAAAAAAAATATGAGAAAAGAAAAAAAATGGAAACAAAATCTATGTAAATAGCGAAGGGTGGAGGGGGTGAAGGGTGCACAGGTAATGGGGAAAAAAATAACTAAGATACATCATGTACAGGTACAAGCACCCAATGATGAATGTAAATGTATTGTATACCTAAAATGTACCAATAAAAGAATTTAAGCAAAAAGAAAAAAAAACATCGAGAGGGTTTTTCACCCTTTACATTTCCTACAAAGGCAAACTGGTCCCTCAAGACCTTTAAACACCTTTATTCTGTGGTCCTCACCTGGGAGTGTTTCTTAACTTTCAGGAAACTGAGGCTCAGGGAGGTGATGAGATTAGTGCAGAAGTGGTGGAGTTGGGACCAGAAGGTGGCTCTTTGAACACCATAACCCATGTCCCTTTCTACTGCAGAAGTGCCTGGAGTTAGAGTTTTATTGAATCATCTACATTTTCTCACCTTAGCCCCCTTTCGCTCTACCACAGCCTGTGTAAAATGGGCTCCTCCACATCAGGTATGCATTGTCTGGACACAGAGGCCAATAGGACTGCACAGCAAATAAGACTTAGGGTTTGTTCACTGACTGGTTGTTGCCACACATATGCAAAGTGGATCTGAGGCAGCTGACTCCCTCTAATAGCTGCTGTTTGTTGTGTCTGAAACATTAGATATTGAGCTAAGTGTACCTTATTGTGCTGAATTCTAACATTGTTGGGAGGTGCAGGTATAAGTAATAGCTTTGTACAATCATGGGAACTGTCTGACTTCCCGAAGTTATGTAACTAGTAAGTGGCAGGGCCAGGGTTTAAACACAGAAGCATTCCATCTGTCCCCGAAACTACTTATCTTACCCACTGTTCATTGATTTCCAAGTGTTGTAGTGAGGGTCTGCAAGGGAATTAGATTTAATACATGACACAAAATTTATACGATTATTTTGATATTTACCCAAAAAGTCAAATATGGAGGAGTGCAAGAGATTAACCATACACTAGAGGCCCAAAGAATCCAGCCAAGGGCCTGGATCCCACAGCAAT